TGTGTGTGTGTATTACAAATTAATTCTAAAAGGAAATATATATGTATAAATGTCTGAGTACACTGCCGAACGTTTCTGCTCTGTTTGGCCACTGCTCTGGCATTTCTTTCTCCATTTCTTTACCCAAACACCTAGTCTGTGCATTAAATCAAATCCAGATCTACCTGTTGCAATCATATTGGGAAATAGATTAAAGGTTATTGAGTGCTGCTAATGATCTACAGCTGGTGTGCAAGTGAGAAAGTGGAAAATGTACTGCCAGCAGCACTGTAGTCCTCCATTCGTTCTTTCCCAAAAGACAAACATCTACATCCACACATTCCTTCACATGCTCTTAGCTCTCACCTCTGCTCCAGAGCATTCTTTTACCCATTTTTTAAACGTGTGTCAAATACACTCCTAAAACCTTTTCTCTTCACTGTGTTTCCACTCAAACCGTAGTTCTAATATACTCTAAACATTTCAGTTCAAGATCGTGATTTAAGTGATAATCCTAAATTCTTAAAATGTTACAATGTGTCTGAGTGAGTGAGAATCAGAATGAGCTTTATTCGCCAAGTGTGTGCAAACACACAAGGAATTTGTGGTTTTTAGGAGCTCTTGATACATACATACATACATACATGGCATGAGAACAGCAAGAACAATTAAATAAGACTAAAGAAAAAAAAAGCATAAAATAAATAATATTATTAATAATAATAATGTGGTAAAACTTTATTATTATTACACACACACACACACACACACACTCCCTCAGACTGACTCTCTCTCTCTCTCACACACACACACACACACACACACACACTCCCTCACACTGACTCTCTCTCTCTCTCACACACACACACACACACACACACACACACTCCCTCAAACTGACTCACACACAAAGCACTCTTCTACACACATGGGAAGTGGGTCTGAAAGCCACTAAGCCGTTTAGCTCCTACGAACCACAACAAGAACTCTTTTCCCTTCTGCTGGCTTGGGGTTTTTAACCAGCAGTGAACCACAGGGGAATATATGTGTTTGGCAGCCTAGTAGAGGTCAGGCTCTTGAACTTTCAGTAGTGAGTCTTAGATTTTGTATTTATTTATTTATTTTTATCGGATGGCTAACATGCATTGGTCAAAACAGAAGTCAGCGTGATCCAAACTGTGAAACATTTTTATGGCTTTCACACACAATGCATTCAATGACCACATCTTCCAAAATGAACTCTTTATTTTTTTCATTCATACTCCATAACCTCTGTATTTGCACACATTTTCTACACACAGTCAAAACTGTTAAAATTCTTTGAAAGCTTATATTTGGCTAAACCAGCATGTTTGATTCTTATATAAACATAAAAATGTACATATGAAATTCACCATATATACCACACAGGGCAGCAGGACACAACAGGCCCCAGTTAAGCCAAGTGGTGAGTGTGAGGCAAGACAATATATTAAGAGCAAAGGGTGTCAATTTTTCTTATTTTATTTACAGTTTTTTGACAATCGCAAGGACACATTTTTCACAAAGTTCTCCTAACCAACTTTTAACTTGGCACGGCAGTTAATTTTACATCCAAAATGCACTAAAACACTTCATATGTGTCTCAAATCAACTCTTTCTTCGATAACACTAGCAAAGGCTTTCAACCAGCAAACACACTTTTCAATCATAAAACACTGACCTAAAAACACTAACAACAGGCAGCATTATACAATGTTTCCTTTCGGAAAGTTTCTTTACAAAACAAGAATGAGACTCTCTACTGCTTGTAATTCACTGCAGCATGTATTACATAGTCCATGTTTACATTAGGGTTAGGTTTTCTCCTTTTGCATAGATGATTATGAAATTGAAAGACTAACACCTGTGTAAGTTTTCAACTGCATCAAATACTTTGATGGTATTTGTTTGTTTGTTTTTTTTATTCAGAATAAATTTCAATATGTATTACTGTAGAAATGTAGCAAATTTCTGTCTCATTCATTTTTGTATGGTTAGGTTTTGAACTTAAGTTTAAAAGTCTTGTGCAAACTGGACGGTAGGTACATCGCGTTTTGGTGGTGTTTGAGTCTGAGTGAGAAAAGAATGGTAACACTTTTTTTTTGATGGTCCCTTTTGAACATTCTTGTTGACAATAAGTAATGTTGCACCTACATGTCTACGAACTCTCATCAGAGTATTTTCTTAATATCTGCTAACTCTTTATTGTCATGGCCTCCCAACAGACATTCTACTGACTATAAGTAACTTTGCAAGTGTCACGCCCATGGACAGTCTTGTGTTTTGTTCTCTCCTTGACCCAGGTTCTCCCATGTTTGTGCCCATATTTGGTCTTTCCTGTTCCTAGTCCCATTGAGTTATATTAGATTCAGCTGTGTCCTATTAATCTCCCCGTTTAGTTCCAGGTGTTCCCCATTTAGTTCCTGTATTTAAGCCCTGTGTTTTCCTGAGTCCTGGGTTCAGTCTCAAATGTCTACCCCGTGTGCTAAGTGTGTGTTCCCTGTTATTTTAGTTTCATTAAAGAGTATTTCTGTTCTGAATCTCCTTCGTCTCCTCACAGTAGTGCAACCCTGACAGAAGACTGAACCCTATACAAGATTACAGAGGCTGAGGACAGATTGTGGTGTTTGCGGCAGGCTGGTCGGAGTTTGGAGAGATATGTGGAGGAATTCCTTGAGCTCTCCAACCAGGTGAGCTGGCACGATGCTGCTCTTAATGCATGTTTCCAGCTGGGGTTGGATGAGGATACAATCCGCTGCGATCTCCCCACGTGTTATTTTCCTCTGATCAAGCTGATTTATGTCATCATTTATTGAAACGGTTCCGATTTCCAAGTGGAAGAGGTAAAGGATCTTTTAAAGTCTCCTCATCCAGCCCCCTCTAGAAAACGTTGTGTTTCCCCAGCTCACCCCATGCCAAGAACTCCCACATACCTCACCAACGGCTCCGAACACCTGTCCAACCAAAGTTACCCCCGAGTTCTCTGAAGCTCCTCCCTGGTCTTCAGCCCAGAGCCGCCAGCCGCTCCGAAGTCAAGTCCGCCGGCCACTCGGAAGTCGGTCAAGCTCCCGCTCCTGAGTCAAGTTTGCTCTTGAGTCAGCTCGCTCCAGTGTCGGCTCCAGCCCCAGAGCTCGCTCCAGTGTCG